ACTTGACAATATGTAACAATAGCCAGTGAAAAGTTCCTACTTATTAACTTCCCATTCTAGAAATCTGCCGTTTTGAAAAGAATCTGAGGTTGATCGTTTTTGTTTTTAAAGAAGGGAGTTCTGCTTCTAGCTAAGATAGAGTAGTTTGTGGTAAACCAACGCTCCCACAGAGGATGACTAGAAAAGCCCTATTAAACTCCTGTGCCTGCATGTGCGCACGCACACACACAAACACACACCAGTCTAAAGGGATTAAGAAAGATGCTTGAGGGGCGAATATCCTGGAAAGAAGGAAACTATAGAGGTAAGCTGCTTTTCTGCAAGCCAGCTTTCCTCTTTTGGGCAGTTGTCAATTCCTGGTGGACAGTCAGGGGATGAGACTGGGCAGAAGGCTGCAGCTAAGAGGCAGAAAAGCCTACCGAGCTTTCAGAAATTTCACAGAGCTAGAGAGACAAAAATTAAAACCTGAGGCTGCCAAGACAACCAGGATTTGAGGGACCAACATCCCAGAGAAAAGGGATTCTTAAAGAACTGAGCCTGATACTTGGAGGTTTTCCCCTTGAGGCATTTGCCTACGTCAAGGAGTTAAGAAAATAAGCACAAAGCCCCTAGACAAAAGAGCAGGTGTTGACAGTCTCCAGTACTTAATTGGCAAAAACTGTGGACCAAGGAGAACGGGCTCTACTACATAACCCAGGCCCTCAACAAGGGTTCCTGGAGAGCTACAGCCAACAGTAAGGCAAACCCAAGGTAGACCTAGTCTTACAAAAACTTAACCCAGTGTTAAGTGGGCTCAGTCCCTGAATGAATAAAGGTAATCAGCCTCAACTCAGTCTTCCTACCAGAGCATACAGTGAGCCTCTTTGGAGGAAGAAAACATCAAGAGTCTCTACAATTTTGCATAGACAATATCTAGCATTTAACCAAAAACTACCAATAAGTAAGACTAAGAGTAAAAGCAGACAACAGAAACAGACCAACAGATAGATGATGCAGTTATTGGAGTATTCAGACAT